AGAGAGAGAGAGAGAGAGAGAGAGAGAGAGAGATTTTCTAAGGGAGAGGAAGAGTTAGCAACACCTGCAAAAACAAAGGCTAAAATATAGTCAGACAAACTAAATCAAAATCATGACAACAGTAGGATGATACCCTATTATAAAGATCCATATGTTTTTTTGTTTTTTCTCTGAAAAACCAAAGACACAACACTCTAGGATTTGTAGACAAAGAGGCAAAAGTAGGAATACTGTATAGATATTTATATAAAGTTTTTCATATATTCTATTGTCAAATTGTAACCCTTTACGTATGACACTGAAATGTGAGTTTCTGATGACTTCCCTAGGGTACGCAGGCAGGCATGCTCAACAACAGATCAGGCATGGCAGGCAGGCTACAGCTGGCCAAACTAGTAAGGCAAGAGGTGGGGCAGACAATAAGTTCAGGTTGGTTTCCCCTCCAGCTCTCTTTTTAAAAAAAAAAAAAAAAAAAAAAAAAAAAAAAAAAAACACCTTAACTATAAAGCTAAACTGAAACCTAAATCCCCTATGCTTATTAGATTATATCCTTCACCCAGTAGCCTATGTTCACAATATAAATTTAATTTAAATATCATTATAACTAGACATGTTGCATTGGTTGTGTTTCATAAAGGCAATGACAGGAGCAAATTGGGAAACACTTCTTAATTAATTTCCATGATCACTGGCATTGGGAAAGCATTTGATTTGAGGCATCTGCTCTGTGAGGCCAGCGACCCCCAGTCACCGCTTGTAATGCTCTCCTATTCTTATCTTGTAGGCTTTCATATCGGACGGGGCAAGACACAGCTAATTGTGACACATGCAGGAACAGTGCATGTATTATCTATAGGTATGTTAACATTCTCCTCTTCCCACTTTCTGTATTCTGAGTGACAAATAATGTTTGCCCACAAATGCAAGAACCATCTGGGTCCATGCTGGGATGATGCCAACAGGCAAAAGGCAAAGACCTTTGTTGACCGTAATTCTAACCTTCCTCTGAAGACTCTACCTCAGGTGTAGGACCATAGATGGAGGAGAGCTTAAAAGCATTTATCCTGCAAATACACCCTGTTCGTTTCAACAACTTGCATCCCATGTGGCCTTGCTTCCTTGGAATCACAGGCCATGAGCACTGTTCTGCGTCCTCTATGTCCTTTAGATGGTGCACAGCACAGGCTTGAAATGACAGTGGCTGTGATAGGAATGCCATGCAAGCCCCGTGGCTGTCACACTACATGTGCAATTAGATCCTGGGAACTCACACGGATTACGGCACTTACATCCCCCGAGGCAGAATCTCCTCTCCGGAGCCAGCACAGATGTTACGTTGTTTTTTAATTTGAAGCTTGTTTGTATTACTAACATCAAGTATATAGCAGAAACTTTCTACAGGCAAAAGCTGTGTTAGGCTTTTCGCAATAAAATAATACTTTTAAACATGAAAATCCTTCAAAGGGGTTGCTTTTTAACTTTTCAGAAAGAAAATTTTCATAAAGGATGACAGCAGTAGGGTTTGTTATAATTGTGTTCAGTTTTAAAAATTGAGACCCAAAGTACCTAGGCTGATCCTGTAAAGTGGCGGCTGTGAATGATGCGGAAGGTGTTTCTGCACCGTTCTCATTTTGTTTCCTCTGATGGTAGTGGACACTAGCTCTACTTCTGCAAGGAACCCCCATCCCATCTGCCCTAATGGCTACTGCAGTGTACATTCCTTTCTCACCTGCTTACCAGCTTTTGCCAGTTTGAATCTTTTTTATAGCAGTCACTCTAACTAGGAAGAAGCAGAGTCCTGTTGTGGTACTGATCTGTGTCTCACTGATGGGTAATAATGGTGACCATCTCTTCCTATCCTTACTGACCATTTGATTAGCGCCTTCTGAGAAACATGATGTCAGTGGTCTGCCGCATTATGAAAAAACAACTATGGCTGAAAGGTTACAGAACTAAAGATTAAAATGTGTAAGAGGGCCCTACCTCTCCTCAGTCAAAAACAAACAACCCTCTAAAAACTCTTCAGAGTTAGTATTCTCTGCATCAAGAAGACAACTGAGGGGGATAGAAAAGCTTTAGGATGCACAATCTTGGCCCCATCACTCCATCTCATGGGAGTACATGGATATGGCTGTGTCCCCGTTCAAAGGAGGCACAGTGTGCCTGACAGAGCCCGGGCTCTTTCAAACAGAACAGGGTGCCCTGAGTCTCTGTATGGGGACAGGTAGAAGGAAGCACAGGTAGGCATGGGCATCACACACCACAGTGGCCAACTTCTTACATTGCAGATTGTTAAAAATGGTGACTTTTGCCTGCCAGGGGTCATCCTGCCAAACGCAAAGGGAGAAACTCCCAAGGAGTCACAGCTGAGGAGGTGCTGCTGGTATCTGAGGTAGAGGTTAGACTGCGCCAACACCCCATGCTAACAGGGCAGCTGCTGTAACAACCAGTGATCGGGCTGAGAGGCTGACATCAGAAAGGCTGCCTTACTGGAACCATGACCGTGTGAAGGTCCATGCAACTGCTAGGGCCTCCTGACAGCGGACAAAAGTAGGGATTCTGGGGCAGCCCTGCCTAGCACATAAGGCTGCTGACCACTATTGGCTGCTGCCAGTGTGGAGTGACAATGACAGAACCCTGCCAAGATTTTTCTTCAAGAATTCCACATTCGAAATTTCAAGACAGTGACCTTGCTTGGTGGGAACGTTTTAACTACCTTCATATTACAGAAGAGAATTTTGAATCAACAGTGAAGGAATGTGACACTGACCTAAACTAATTTTTTACTAACATCAAGAAATTAGGAAAAGAGGGGATGATAGACATTTCCAGGAATATTTTGTGAGTTTAATTTTTATTATTTAGGGAGCCAAAGCGCATCTGGTCTCCTAATATAACAAGACTGAAATGTACAAAGCTTTCCAGAGGCGGTTCAGAGACGAGCATGTTCCACTGAATCCTACGTAACATGTTGGGGGAACTGAAAGAGAACCAAGTAGGATACTGTCCAGCCTAACTGAAATAATTTAAATAAATTTAGCTCTGATTTCAGAAGTAACATATAAAAAGTGATACTACAACTGATTTAAGAAGTCTGAACAGGACAAGAATTTGTCTTTTCAGGAAATACTCTGGAGTGGCTACCACTTTGCGTGGCCTCACTGCGTATTCTGTATAAATCCCAACACTTCAGTCACTAGACTCCTGCCCACACTTCAGTCACTACACTCCTGCCCAGAACTGCGAGACTCAGAGGCCCACGGGAATTTGGAAACCGTGAGGAGGAATTGTCATTTTGACAAATCTCCTTACAGACCTCTAGCCACTGAAGACGTGGCAAAAACATACACATTAGCTCTAACTAGAAGTGAAAGCACACTGGAGAAGCTATTCTCAAGAAGTGTTTTGTGTCTGTCTTCCAGAAGGTTAATTTAAACTTACACTACTCATAGTAATGACCGCCAGAAAAAAAGTTTCCACAACTTTCAAAGTTGTGCTGTAAACAGAAGCTCCTAAGGCTTAGCAAGCAGGTTCCAGAACATTCTGCGTGGCGACACTGCAACTGGAACCCCCCTGTGCACCAAAGTCCTTATTTCACTGAGTCTTGCAGCTACTTTTCTATCAGCTCTCACTGTTCCCACCAAGTTGAATATCTACTGCCCACCACACTCTGACTCCCAACTTCTCTAACATTTTATATTGGAAATAATTAAAGCTCAATAGTCACTCTGATGTGGTTACTAATGCCAGACTGAAGCTTTTTCTTCAGTTTTCTAAAAACAGCTTGATAAAGTAAAGGAAGGTTGATTACATTCAATTAACTGAAAATCCAATCCACGAGGAAATTATGTACCTGACATAAACAAATTACTTTAACTTAAATCAGGAAAGCTGAAATCTTGAATTTATCTGATTTAAAGTTTCGTGGTTACTTTGCAGAGAGACCTAGATGCTCTGATTGAATACAGGCACTGCCCAACTAAAGTTCCAAGTTATCTTCTATGAACCACAGCTGCTTTCCTCTGTTGAGTATGTAGCGATTCCTTGTGAGGGAATCAGTCCTCAGCTTCCTTCTGGATGCATACTTGAGTTGGCCCAACTTTTTCCATACCCAATATTTATCAGCAAACTACTCTTTCCAAAGACTCACTGAAACAACAATTCTTTCTGACCTCATTGATTTCTGTAAACTTGAATAATTAAATCACTCCCACAAAGAATACAAATGATATAAATAAGTCCAGAAGCAAATAAAACATCTTGGCAAGTGTGAAAAAGTAAGCACAGAGCATCAGGGTCCACAAGAAAGAAGTCTGCTGTTCAGGAGCATCTGCCTTGTGCAGGGGTCAGCACTGGCACAGAAGGAAAAGGTGTTGGCTAATGCAGCACCGCAGTTAAAGGGGTTTCTCTAATCCCATCCAAATACGCAAGACTGACACACTAGGACAAACAGGGAAATAATACATCTTTACACACAGATAATCCCAGGGGGCAGCGGAAGTGTATCTCAAGGTCAGAGACCTTGCTGTTAATTCAGAACCTGGCTTCAGCACCTAGGTTCCTGCATACAGCAGGGTACATCCCAGAGCTCAGGAAATATGCCATGAATCCCCACAACACCATTTCCACCTCCCCGTAGGAAGCCTGGAGTACCTTGAGATTGAGTAGGTTAAAGGAATTTCAAAATAAAGAAATCTTGAAATGTCACGCAGGTGTGGTTGTCCCAGAGGCTGGAGCACAAGAAAGGCCATGACAGCTGCCAGTGTCCCCATGTTGTAATTTGTCATACCTGCTTGCTGGCAGGTGGAGAGCCCTAGGGGTCAATGAATCTGACCTCTCCTGTCCTGCATTTAAACACTGCTTTTCACTCAAAGCCCAGCCTCCTTCTTAGAGCAGAGTCGGAGTACCTGTGTTTCCAGTAACGCTGGCCGAGGGAAATGAGAAGGACGCCATGTTCAAGACCAGGCTGTGTGCAGTTTTATAAACATAGCCCGGTAATAAATGTGTACCTTTGCTGTGGATGGCAGTACATATTTCTCCGTAAAAAATGATTCTGTCATGGAAATATACAGGACTTGGAAAAAACAACAAAAGGACAAAAGGTCCTGAAGCAATTTCAGGCCAAGGCTGCCAGAACCACGAGCAAAGGTTGGAGGCGCTGGCCTGGCAGAGCCTACCATTCCAATCCGGGTACCCAGAGGTCAAGCTGAGCTTAGCCGCTGTCGTGGGCTGGAGGCCTGCAGAATTACACCCACAGGTCCCCGCCAGCCCTGAAAACCCACAAGGTTATCTGAATCATGAAGGGAATGGATCTGAGAACTTTAACAGGGTACAACCATGGGGTCACAGGCATTTCTGCACCACAGCACATGCACTCCTCCAGTGGCAAACCCATTTACCTATTCTGCTGAAAACCGATCACTCTGCTTACCAGGCCACTAACACCACGTACCACAAGGGTATTTCTGATGACTGAAAATGTGGAAATGGCGGGCATATTCACATTGTTCTTCGAAGATGACAACCCTTTGATTATGATCTCACCAACTGAGATATTCAAATGAAGGAGTGCATCAGAATGAAAAGAAGATGAAGAGGTTTGCAAGTTGCTGTTCCCTTTGAGTAAAACTTTTTTGCTTGTCATCCATATTTCCTGTCACAACATGCTTTAATTAGTTCAGAAAATGTTTTAAGGATAAATTACTAATATAATCTTTGTTCATCAGTACTTGAAATCTTCTGTCTCCAGCCTATGTTAGTAGCTCCTTTGTCAGAGTAATCTGATGAGTCACATTAGGCCTGATTCACCTATTGTTCAGACTTTGCTTCACAAAGAAACAATGAAAGATAACACTG